AAATGCCTTTTAGGTGGTGGAAGTATTCATAGCACAAGGTTCCACAATTCCAAACCCAAACAAACTCACAGTCAATCAAGCCGGTACTTTCTTTCTGCTATTCTGAATTACTCAAATTCTTCAGAGAACAAGAGCGAAGGAGGTCACATAAATACCAGTATTTCTAAGCCAGACTGCTAAGAAAGACTACTTAATGGGCACTATTCAGATTTTTGGGGGTTGCTCACATTTGCTTTCATTTTTTCTTTGTTTTTCTTTCATTTTTTTTTATTTCTTAAGAGAACCACCACCTCTGCACATTTTTCAAACACCTGCTCAACTTTTTTTAAGAACTACCTCCAACTCTCACATTATATTTAGCACAAACAGCAGAGAACATGTAAAAATCACTCTGTGGAACCTTCTAAAAGATGCAAAAGGGTGACTTTTCATTGAAGACCGAAAGAAAGGATAACACACGGCTCAAAGGGGCTGACTAGGGGATATGACACACCAGGACAGTCAATTTGGTCGTGGGCTAATCCTATGCCTCCATCATCTTAGCTAATGACAACGTGAATGCTACACATCATGGAAGAGGGAACTATCGCACAAGAAAGAAACGAGCAGGCTCAAATCTCACATGGCTACCTATATGCTCTATCTCTCATTCTGATCCCCTAAACTAGATGCATAAGAGACTGTCAAAAACAAGTAATCAATCCAAGTCACAGTTGGTAAGCAAACAGTTGAAAAACTGAACCCCTACACAACTCTACTGCACATCTCAGTCATCATTATAGGTTTTCCTAATCACCGTCCAATTGTCATGCATTAATCCGAAAACCATTCAATTCACCAATCAAAACACAGTGCCAATATGATCAAACAGGCGTACTTGGAGTCCTCAAATCTCGGAATTTGGACAGCGGACTAGGCTCCAATCACACGTATATACATTCCAACCGATACAAAGCACCCCCCCCCCCACAAGCACACACACTTAAGCACGACATTGCCCTCAATGGAGCAGAGGGATAGAGAAGGGGAACGATGTTACCGGATTGAAATGCTGCGGGAGACTGGAAGTGGACCAGTCAGCGTGGGACATATGGAAGGAACGGACAGTTCTGCACTAAGGGAACGACAAGAACACACTAGCACATGTTCGTTAGGGATCAGAGTTGGCCTAGATGGCCACAAAAGAAACAATCCACAAAAGAAAAGAAACAAAACACACGACAAACTCAGTTCAAGCTCCTCAAACACATGGAGCAAACAGAAAAAGTCTAAAACAAAAACACACACTGAGGGGCGACAAGTACAGCCTACTCGTCGCCAAGGTTGTCCAGATCGATGTCGCCGTGTCGGCCGAGTTTATAGCCCGTGGTTCGGCCACACGGGCAGGCTCACACGGCCTTGTGAGTTACACATTTGCCCGTGTCGGCCGACACGGGTTGGCCGAGGATTTTCCACTCGGCCGTGCGAAAAGCACATTTGGCCGTGGGACTTTTGACGAGAGCTCACACGGCCAGGGGGGATTTCCACACGGCTGTGTCACAATCACAACTGGCCGTGTGGAAATTCACGAGAGCTCACACGGCCATAACTCAATTCCACACGGCCGTGCGACTTTCAGGGCTGGCCGTGTGGGCCGCCAGAACTCCGAAATTGACTTGTTTTCACTCCAGAACGACATACAACTCGTGAACAACGCCTCAAGACTCAAAAACACAAAAAAATCAAAAGGAAAAAGGTAAGAAAATGCAAACCTAGGTGGGGTTGCCTCCCCACAAGCGCTTCTTTACCGTCTTTTAGCTGGATGCCAGTCGGTGGATGCTCAATGAGGTGAAGGAGCAGGTGCCTTCAAGAGCGGATCCACCTCACTCTTGAGGTACAGCTTCAAATGGTGGCCATGCACACGACGAATGTGGCCACCAGCATTCGCCAACTCGACTTGGCCATCCGGCAGGATGCAAATGAGTGAGTACTCGGATGGCCAAGGTGGGGGCGGGACCAGCTCATAGTGGTCTCCGGCTTTCTTTCGGGCATGCTTAGCTGCCTGCAGTTTCGGCCGCCACTCCTCCTTGATCTGTTCTTTTGGTGACGGAGTGGACGGGAGTGGCGGCAAAGATATGGGAGGCGGATCCTACAAAATGGGAGAAAGAGAAGGATACACAACAGACTCGTGCTCCCGGTGAGAAACAGCATGCAGAGGCGAAGAAGCAGGGAGAGTATTAGTAATTGAAAATGTTATTCGCTCCTCGCCATCCCTCAAAACTAAGGTCCCATCATGCACATCTATGAGAGCCTTGGCGGTGGCCAGGAAAGGCCTTCCCAGTATAAGGGGCACTTCTGTGTCCTCATTGATGTCCAAGACAACAAAATCCACAGGATAATTGAATTTGCCAACCTTAACCAGAAGGTCTTCCACTATGCCTCTAGGATGCACTACAGATCGGTCAGCTAATTGAAGGCTCATCCTAGTAGCACGGGGTTCACCTAGGCCTAGTATCTTGAACAGTTTATACGGCATAACATTGATATTAGCACCTAAATCCGCCAAGGACCTCTCTACATGCAAATTATCTATAGAGCACGGGATAGTAAAACTATCTGGGTCCTTCTGCTTCTGCGGAAGCTTGTTCTACATAGTGGCCGAGCACTCCTCGCTGAGATCCACAGTGGCCAGCTCGCTCAGCTTTTGCTTCTTTGAGAGAAGATCCTTCAGGAACTTCGCATACTTAGGCATTTGAGATAGTGCCTCCAGGAAAGGTACTTGGACATTTAGCTTCCTAAGCATGGCCATGAAGTTCCCGAACTCTGCCTCCAACCTGTCTTTGTGCAACCGAGTAGGGAAGGGGAGTTGAGGGATATACTCCTTCACTACTGGTTGTGGGTTAGGCGCAGGCACCTCAACCTCCTTCTCTGCTTCTTCTTCTTCTTCAGTCACTAGAGATGCCGAGGCATGGGCCTCCCTCTCTTGTGCCCGAACAGGTGGATCAGCAGTCATCTTTCCACTCCTGGTTGTGATAACATTGCAGTGCTCATTCGGGTTCTGCGGATGAGGGATGGTCTGACCGAGTAGAGTACCAGGAGCCCTTTGTGCCACTGCTTGAGCCACACTCCCCAGCTGGGTTTGGATATCCTGCAAGACAGCTTGTGTGTTCCTCTGGCCAGCTTCAAGAGCCAGGAATTTACCCGAGACCTTTTCCATGAACAGCTCGATAGTGTTGAATTTCTGAGCACTAGAACTGGCGAGAGAGCCCACCAAGTCTCGTAGTTCAGCCATCGGATCATTTTGCACTAGGATGGCAGGGGCTGCACTTGGCTGCTGGAAAGGTCGCGGCTGTGATTGAGCAGCCTGCCCCTGCATGGGGTGGTAGAGAGACTGCTGCTGCTGGAATTGCCCCTGTCTAGGCTGATATGGCGGCCTCTGGAAGCCCGGTGGTCCCTGGGGGACTGGTGATCTGGAATTTGCCCCACCCCAGGAGAAGTTGGAATGCTGGCGCCACCCCTCGTTGTAAGTGTTGCTGTAGGGGTCGTTGCGCCTAACATTATTGATGAAGTTCACCTGCTCCTGGGGTGTGGTCGATTCCTTCATCGCCTGGCAGTCTTCCACCGTGTGATGGGTGCTCTCGCACCAATGGCAGAGCATCGCCTGCTGCTGTTCGGTCCCTGGAATCATCCCGGAACGATCGATAGCTGAAACCAGCTTCGACACCACCTACACCAAATCAGAGGAATGGTTTCCCACAGAATGTACACCTCGGCTTGGTGCTCTCCTCGACCTCCTAGCAGTGCCCCAATCATACCCGTTCTCTGCCATCTCCTCAAAGAGTTAATTCAGCTGTGGCGGTGTTTTGGTCAGCATGTTCCCGCCACAAACTGAGTCAATCAGCTGCTTGTCTTCTGGGAAGAGGGCGTGATAGAAGGTTCCCACCTTCAAAACATCATTGAAACCATGATTGGGACACCTCAGGAAGAGACTGTTGTATCTCTCCCAAGCATCCCTGATGGTCTCATCCTCGTCCTGAGCAAAATGGGTAATTTGCTTCTGCAGGTCCGACGTCTTGGATGGAGGATGGTAGCGGGTGAGGAAATTGTCCGCCAGGTTGGCGAACGTGGTGATGGAGCCCGGAGGTCGAGTATCTAGCCACTCCTTGGCCTGCCCCTCCAGGGTGAATGGGAAGCACCTCAACTGGATGGCATCTGCTGGTACCCCATTAATCTTGATTCCATCGATGAGCTCGTGGAATCGCCTGAGATGTGATCGGGGGCACTCCCCCTCTTTGCCACGGAACACCACCGAACCGGGCAGCATGGTGATTACTGAGGTGCTCACCTCAAAATTGTTGGCTGGGACATGAGGATGTTGAATGGGTGACCTCATGTCCGCAGCCCTTGCGGCCCAGTAGGATCCCATGGTCTGCTCCTCGGGAAGGACCACATCATGGTCATGTGGATCCCCCATCTCTTCTTCTTCAGCGATCTGCAGTTGTGCTAGCTCCTCCTCCGCAGCCAGTCGCGCCTTTAGAGCCTGCTTAAAGTTCCTGCAGGTTCGTTCAAGCTCCTGGTCTAACGGTAGTAGATCTCCCGACTGGCTACGTGTCATGCACTACCTGCACACAATCAGCAGAAGCAACCCGTGAAGGCACACAGGCGGAAGAGATAAAATGCAGTAAAGAAAAAGCTAGATTAACAAATTTTCACGTTTCCCCAATAACCTAGAGGATCCCCGGCAACGGCGCCAAACACTTGACACACCAAAACACAACACCAAACTGCGACCAAGTGTAATCGCAGTCCGGGAATGCAGTAAAGTGGCAAGTTATATTATCAACCCGGGGTCTACATCTACTGCTTACTCCGTGATTATCTGTTATCTAGCCAACTAAGTTAAGTGATTGTTGTTTTAAGCAAAAGCAGAAAGAAAGCAGGAATTGGTTCGGTTTTCTCAAGAAAAGAAGAGTCACTCGGGAATGAGTCCCCCTAGCTCCTTAGTTAGGTCTCAATTGTAATTACCCTGGGTTGATTTATTGTTGATTAGACTGCGAAAGATCCGACAGTAGCTTGGAATCTCTTAAGCTGACCAAGCCCTCTCAGTCTAACTACCCGGCAGACGACTAGTCTTCACCGGGATAGAAAGCTGAAGCAATAAGCACAAAACTCCACTACTGGAATTGGATTCCAGTACAAAGCAGTAAACTGGCTAACTCTCTTATAGCCAATCTCCTACTACCGAATGATGAGGCTCTAACAACCTAATCAGATTCTATCTATCTCAGGTTGCAGCAAAAATCAGGAAAAGCTGATCAGACTTCAATTGACTCAATAAACATGCATCATTCGATTAAAACCAAACAGTATAATCATCCCAAGTCATTACAATCAAATCCCTAAGACATGGAACTAGGGTTCTTCATACCCCAAGTGAGAGAAGGGTTCTACTCCATAGAGAGAGAGAGAGGAAAACAGAATACAAAGCAGTCATACTCATAACAATGGGAAGAATCTGCTCAGGGATGATGATTTCCACTCTATGACGATCTCCAAGCTCGATTTGATGAAATCCAGCTCCAAGATAGCTTCTAGGATGTGTTCTTCGTACTTTCTCTCTCTATGGCTCTGTTTTTGCTCTGAAAATTCGATTCTCTCACTTGCAGCCCGAAATTGGGTAAAAACCAGAAATTCCCGACTCACAGAATTCCACACGGCCAAATTGCAACTTCACACGACCGTGTGGATTTTATTTGTGCCCGTGTGAAGGCTCGCACAATCCCACACGGCCTCCTTGGTCACTTGCACGGCCATGTGAGTTGTGTGTGTGCCCGTGTGGCTTCCTTTGTGACTTGCCTCGTGCCCGATCTTCGTCCAATCGACCCCGAACTCGCTCCCAAGCCTTCATTCACTTACTAGGACCTGAAATATCACAAACAAACACAACATAGCGTGAAATCGGCCTAAAACACGAGAATCAACACCTCAAACGGCTCCAGAATAGGGTTAAAAACATGTGCAATTAACGGCTTATCAGGAATGAACTTAGGTTCGCGTCCACCATACCTGACCAAATCTCGGTGGTAGCAGATCATTGCAAGGGTACTGCTCGTCTAGCTTCTTTAGACCATGTCACGTCTAGAAAATATTAGATAGGAGTACGTAACAAAGGGTAGAAGCTATATAGGCGAGAGTATCAGTGGACACCCTAAACAGCCTCTTGGCTTGCCTCTCAAACTCCTCTTGTCGAGTTGGACTAGGATTAGGAGTCTCATGAAGGGTTATAATATTATGGTTTAGTTTTTTATGTTGGTAAGGGCAAAATCGAAACCCTCGTAACAGCCACGAAAGATCAAGGAGGAATCTTTTTCCAACCGCTCGATTACGAATTAACCACGTATCTCGGGATTGAGGTGCACCTTTTCTAACCTTCGAGATCAGGTGGACATCGCCAGCAAAATGATGCAGGGAAGGAACCATACTCGTTGTCGGCCATTGTAACGCTGACGTTTGATGTTTTCCTCCCCACAAGGGTCTCTCACTACCACTACAACCAAGGTGCTTGGGAGCATCCCCTTTGCTAGCCTGCTTGACAATATAAGCCAACGAAGCTGAGGCCAAACATGATTTGTCTCCAACCAGTTCCGACGAGGGAGGGAGCCAGAATCGCCACCCCTTTAATGGTTGAAGCCTGCATCTTTTAATTAGTTTTCCATACGAGGACTCATACTCCTCAAAAGCATTACTCCGTTTTCGTTTCCAGATCAACCTATCCGGTTGGTGGACAACCGCACATAGGTCACGTTGACAATCGGGATCTAAAGTGGGTTTCCTCATAAGGACGCCGCCACGACAGCGGACCATTCTCACATCCTCACTAGGAAAGCAGGCACCAAACTTGGAAGCTTTCCAGCATTGTCTTTGGTTTCGCAAGATAGTAGCTAAAAGAATAGCCATTGTCTGCATCAGCCACCGCCCGAGCCAAATACACAGCTCGAAGAGAGAGGAGAGAGCTCCTCCCATTTTTTTCCGAATAGTCTTTAGTTTACGAGGATAGTTTCATCCTTTTATCTTTATTTACAAGGTGACACATATTTTGTCTCATTTCTAGTTATTTTGAAAAGTTCAACCAAACTCTCAACAAGGTTTGGTGCTAACAAATCCCTTAAACGCAAACTGCTTCCTATCAACCGCTCTCTTTACATCTTTGTAAAAGAAAAGTAAAAAAACCCGTTGTGTTTACATCTATTCGCGCAGGCAAACAAATATTGAAAAACTCATTAAACCAGGAAAGAGATATTGATGATCCTAAAGGCTAAAACTGGAGAAATAAAAGAGCACAGGGTTTGCATGTGTATGAAATCACTGTAGGGTCTTCTGATTTCCATAGGCCATATCCACTCAATTGCAACCAACCAGTTGGCATCAGTTGTTCATTTCTTCAAGTCATTAAAATTAAATGTAGCCTATAACAGTCCCATGATAAGAGAACAGGTAGAACATGTGTTACCTTTTCTTGGTCAAGTTCTGTTATGATTGATGTGCACTGCTTCAAAGACTTCATCCTGGCCGTGCAGTCAGGTGATGGTTGCTCTAGAGCATCCCTGTATCTGTAGATCCTTGGGAAGTGACAGGAGCAGATGCTCATTGGCTTTGGTGCGAATTTAGATATGGTGCACCACTTGGATTTTGGAGAACGGTTCTCATCTTATATCCAATGATACATAAAAATGAGCCATTAAATTAAGGATCAAGATTTGTTGGTAAAAAGTAGTAGTGGAGAGTGAGGTCAGCAACTGAAAAGGAGCTGACAAAAAACTGTTTTTTCGGGGCCCACTGACTGAAAGGAGTTGACACGAGAGAGAGAGAGAGAGTAGAGAATGCAAGTTCTTGAAAATACTGAATATAATTTTTGTTTTATACAAATGTGTTTTGTGATCAGTAGTAATATGTTTTATATTTAGTAATTATATGGTTTTTAATGCGTGGTATATTATTTTGAATAAGAGTTGTGAAAATTACGAATACATAAATCATATATATGGAATATGTTTTCTATTCAATGCAAATATCATATTTTGTTTAATACGAATATGATATTTTGATGTGTATATTTGTTCAGTACAAATATAAGTTTTGCTCAGTACAAATATGTATTTTGTTCGATACAAATATGATTTTTGTTCGATACAAATATGATTTTAGTTCAACAAGAAAATACATATACCACTTGTAAATAGTATGTATAAGTTTTATTTTGTTAAAAATAAATGGCCCACATGTCACTACTTTTTCAGGTCGTGGGTCCCAGAATTCACTATCTATTGCTCTAATGGATCTGAGCCTCTAATTTAAAAGAACACTTTTGTGGGTCATTGGATGGAATGAAAAACAGTTCTTCAATATTCAAGTGATGCAGCTAGGGCTGCAAATGAGCCAAGCCGCTCGCGAGCAACTCGGCGTTCGAATCGGAAAAAACTCGTTCGACACTCGACTCGTTATTTAACAAGCCGGCTCGCGAGCCAACTCGTTAGTTAACGAGCCAAGCCTGAGCTAGACCATGCTCAGCTTGATAAGCTCGCGAGCTAGCTTGATTCGGTGGCTTGTCGAGCTAAGCTCGCGAGCTGCCTTGTTTTAAGCTTGTGGAAGGATGAATTACTCTTTTAAACATGAACATTGTCTTATAATACAGATGTGTATGAAATTTAGATGTTATTTCTAGTTTCTAGTGTTCTTTCTATCATTTAAATTCTTATGTTTATACATTTTTCCAGCAAAAATGATTTTAAATCGAGCTCATCTTGAGCCGAGCTTGTACTCAGCTTAACAAGCTATGTTAATGAGCATTTATCGAGCTCTACCGAGTCGAGCTCGAGCTAGATTATTTTTATTCAAGCCGAGCTCGAGCTCGAGCTGGATTATCAAAATTCGAGTTCGAGCCGAGCTCGAGCTGAAAAATTAATAAACGAGCCGAGCTCAAGCTAAGCAAAAACTCGACTCGACTCGGCTCGTTTGCAGCCCTAGATGCAGCATATCCTGGTTGCTTTGGCGCCGTAGTCTTTGGAGTTTCACTTTGATTTTCATCCAAAAATCTATTGATAGTGGGCCTAACTTCCAGACTGGTGTCAGACTGAGACATTTCTTGATGCTATAATATCTATATCATATAAAGCATTAGATGTCACATCCCTTCCATCATTTCTAGCATCAAGAGAAAATCCATAAGTGGTCTTAATTGATGGCTTCCAGGTAAAGAAAGAACTCCCGTGAGGACCACTAGAATCAACATCCAGGAAAAAAAAAAACTGAAAGACAATCCTCCTGAGGACTGCCTCTTCCAATTGAATTAGTTTCAGACAAGGAGAGAACTTTGGTGCTTTAGAAGCTGAGAGGATAGATGTATTAAGGTGGTTTACTGAACTCTACAAGACATACCTCAATGGTTCATCTGCTCTCTGAGAAAGAAATGGGTCGTTAAAGCGTTCCTCAAAAGTCAACCTTTCCACTGTATGTACAAAGGTGAAGCTAAGTTACAAATGCAAATGTGATTCAAAATTTTCCCAAAATTCAATATGTTTATGAATGATTCTCTCTCTGATACTTTCAAAAATAGTCCCCAAAAGAGTAATTACTCCAGTGTTATTTAAACCGCTAAATCTGCTAATGTTTGATTAAGATGAAACTAACAAGGAATGTTCTCCATGTATACCAAATAGGACTTGGTGCAATGAGTTGCTCTGTCAGAAATCATAAGAAGGTATTTCTCATTTCAAGTTGGCAAGGATGAGATACCTGGATTTCGACGCAGGCAGCAATCTGTGACATAAGTTTCTGCAGCACTCATATAACTTCTGCTGGAAATTGCAATTCAGTTGATTTCATGATATTCTGGAGTAACTGTGTAACAGACGAAGAATAGTGAGAATCACCACTTCACCAGCAAATAATAGAGAAGTATATTTATGGCAACCTTCTCTCTCCTATACCTTCTGTGATTCCATCTTATCGAAGTAAGAAACTCCCAAGCTCTGAAATTTGTCTATATATTACAACTGGAAAATCGAAATCTGGCCTAGTGGACGGACGATGATTGAAAAATAGATGTTGACATTTGGCTCGAATCCTGACAATCTAATAGAGATTGGACTACAGAGTCCATTGTTGGCCTCTTGTTCCTGTCTTCTTCAACACACGACAGCCCAATTTCAACAACCCTCTCCACCTGTCTCTTGTTAAAATTCCCTACCAACTTGGGATCCACCATATCATCATCAATCCATGGCTTCTCCCCACCTTGAATCTTCTTCTTCCCTATCCTCACAAACCTAGCAAGCTCAGCTTCCTCTTCCACCTCCTCTTCCCCAACATCCTCTGCAACCAAATTCGAAAGCCGAATTCCTTTTACCAACTCCAGAATCACCACTCCATAGCTGTAAACATCGACCTTAGCCGTAATGGGCAGATTTGAAGCCCACTCTGGAGCCATGTACCCTTTCGTCCCTCTGATCTTGGTGAACTCCGAACTGTTGCTCCCTCTCTGAGACAGCTTGGCAAGCCCGAAATCCGCAATCTTGGGCTCAAAGTCATCGTCCAATAGTATGTTCTCCGGCTTCACGTCACAATGTATGACCCATTCGAGACACTCATGGTGAAGATAAGCCAACCCTTTCGCCGTCCCCAGAGCAATCTTAAACCTAACTTGCCACTCAAGGAACCTAGTGGTGGTTCCTTTGGAGAAGAGATGCTTGTCGAGCGACTGATGTTTCAAATACTCATAGACCAACATCCTGTGTCTGTTTTCAGAACAGAATCCCCACATTCTCACCAAATTCATGTGGTTGATCTTCCCAATTGTGGTCACTTCTGCCCAAAACACATCTTGACCTTGGTACGAATCTTCGAGTCTTTTAACTGCAACAACTCTTTCATCAACTAAAACCCCCTTGTAAACGGTTCCAGACCCTCCCCTACCAATCACTTGCCTGAAACTTTTGGTTGCCTTTTTCAGTTCTGAATAGCTAAACCTCCTGAACTGACTTGCAATCGCTCTATATCCCATTTCGGCAGAAGCAGGAATCCCTAGCATTGATGAAAGAAACCACCAACCTATTGCTATCAACAGGACCTCAATCGCGCCAATTGCAGAAGCAAACGAGTATAGATAAACCCACCTCACCTTCTTCTTGTCTATCTCGTACATAGATGGAGAACCAATCATGATTCTCGATCCATCATTTTTGCAAATTGTATCCATGGGATTAAGAATGTGAGCTTCATTCTCGACAACAAAGCTCTGCGGCAGCTTCAAATAGATGCTGCCCGGAAATTCAGTTGATTGAAACCCATTAAAGAGCGTGCCTTTGGTGTAGCACCGCCCTTCCCCATCAAGTCTGTAGCTAAAACCAGCACACCGGCAATCGTCAAGGCAAAGCTTCCTGCAACTCTCCATGGAAGCTGGCTCGCTGAAATTGAGATCGAATCCCCAGAAATCAACATGCGGAACCTTAACGAACTTCACCTGATTTGGTCTTAAACAAGTGTTGATGTTGAACTTGGGCTGGCATCCTTGACTCCAATTTTGAACATCTTTGACTTGGTATCCAGGCGGGCAAGAACACTTGGGCGCCGGAGTGTACAAACAGATCCCATTCCTCCCGCAAATCCCATGGACGTTACATAGCTTGACCATGGCCTGCCACGTAATCACCCAGTTTCGACCCCTCGAATTGTTGTTCAAGCTGTAAAGCCTGAGATTACCGTCGTAATCCAAGGTTAATCTCCTTTTAACCCCAACCCCAATATCAGAGGCCCTGAATTGAAACCTATCAGTAGACACGAATTCCCCAATCTCGTCAAGAACAGCAATTCTGCTGCTGTTGTAATTGTTACGGCCGTTCTGGTACACGTTGTAATCTGGGTTCGGCCAGTAGATGCTGGAAACCTCGGGGCCATCGTAGATCAACCTGAGAACGTTATCGTTATCGAAGAGCAAGGAGAAATAACCCGACCCAAAGTTCCCCGGACCCGATTTTGAGACCAGAGTGGAGCTCTTTCTGAAGAATTGGGTCGGGAGAATAGTGTCAGTTGGGGAATCGAAGCTCTGCCACAGAATTTTACCACCTGGGTTTTTAACGACAAGATTCCCAGTGTCCAAAAGCTCGGCGAGTGAGGCATCCGTGGAGCTGGTGTTGGTCTCCCAAACGAGGAAGCCGTCGACGTCGGTCAAGACTAAAGCGCCGTTGCTGCGGAAGGAAAGCTTTGAGCCTTTGGCGTTCACGGGCCGGTCTCTGTTAGCGGTCCAAACCACGGCCCGGTCGTTGGAATTGGTGAACCAGATTGAGAACCAGTAAGCGTTTTCGCCGCCCAAGCCGTAGAACCCGCAAGTGAAGGTTTTGTCAGGGGAAATGAACAAGTCGGTGTCGGATTCTACGGAAAAAATCCCAGAATACGCTAGTTATTAAAAAAAATTCCCTAAATACAGTACTTATAAAACTAATTCCCAAAATACAGCAGTTTCAACATCACTGTCTTTGTCTAAGACAGTGATGTTGATCACCGCTTTTGTCCAAAGCAGTGAAGCAGCGGGGTACGCATCACCGCCTTGGACAAAAGCGGGGAATGCATCATCGCTGTGGTCAAAAGCGGTGATACGTTCCCCGCTTTGGACATCAACAGTGAAGCCATCACCGCTGTTGTCCACAGCAGTGATTGCCCCCACGTTTTACACAGCCCTGGTAGGTGGACAGGTAGGTAACAGCTACCTAGCCATCACCGCTGTTGACTAAGGCGATGATGGTTCACCGCCTTTGTCCAAAGCGGTGATTGCCTCCAATTTTTCCTATAAAAAGCCACGCCCCCTCTTCCCTCCTGCTGCCAAACACTCCTGCTGCCAAACAGAAAATTAGTACCAAAATTATCGTTTTCGCAGCTGGTTCCTCCGTAGTTTACTGCTCAAGAAACTCGTCGGGATTCGGTATGTTAGAATTATGTATTGTTTACATTTTGATTATGTGCTAGAATTAGGTATGTTAGAATTATATATTTAGATTAATGATATATGTTAGTTAGTTAGTACTGAATTTAGATTAATTTGTTTAGTTATCATGATAGATCGGGATTGAGTATGTTATAAGTATGTATTTTTTACATGTTGATGTGTTAGTAATTATACTGTTTGTATTTAGTGAATTGCGGTTATTGGAAAATATGTTATGATATTATTTAGTTTAATTATGATATGATAGATGTTAGTTAGCTAGTTATGAATTTAGATGAATTTGTTTAGTTTTCTCATAATAGATAAATTAGTTGCATTTTATTATCGCTTTGGATGATATTGTTTTTGTATCCATAATGTACTAATTATATACTATACTTAATTATTATAAATTGCAGACATGGGTAAATTTAAGAAGTTTCGGCTTATTATTTATTGGAATGGTCGGGTGACAAACTCGAACATTGGGATCGACTATGAAGATGGCGAATCCAGTTCGCTTACAATTGAGTCGAGATTCTCGTGGCAAGAACTCCATGACAGGTGTGCAGAAAGGACTTGTACGGGCGGGCAAATGAGAGTTCGTCAAATTACTTACCGGTATCCCAACATGAGTGCTGACGGAGTCATGTACGAAAGAGTTGACATAAATGACGATGACGACGCGAACATGATGACACAGTTCATATCTGAGAACGGGGTGCGGCTTGCAGAGGTGTATGTCGAGACCGAGCCGGTCAGTGAAACTCATTCTCACCAGTATTCTTATGATGATGGTTTTGCAGGAGGGTATGGCTGGGGTGGTAGTTCAAGTAACTACGGAGCAGGTTCTTCTGCCGGAGGGTATGGTTGGGGAGGTACTTCAAGCAACTACGGAGGAGGTAGTTCTGAAGGAGCTGTTGGGTGGGAAGAATACCTGCCACATGGTGGTGAGACTGCCGTCGATATCGTTCAGCCCGACGGTGATCAATGGCCTGCTTGGGGTCCAGAGTGGGGTGACATTGAAAACACCCTTCGAACTGGGCGTACTTCGCATGACCAAGAAGGCGATGCTGGTTATGCTGCTAAAGATGACCCTCCTTCGCCGAGCTATCCATTCGCCTCCAGTGACGATGAAAGTGAGGAAGATTTGAGATCAGTCAGTGAGGAGGAAGATGCGGACGATAACGACGATATCGATGACAGTGAGGTGGCGTTCCGCCAGGCACCAACGCCTTACTACACAGAGGTTCCTGATCAATTTTTATATGGTCAGAACGATGCCCCTGACTATCGGCCCATGCCTGTGTATAATCCGACTGCTAATTTGGAAGTGGGTATGGCGTTCACTTCAAAAGCCGATGTGCAAGACGCTTTTAGCGAAGAAGCCATGCGGCGTAATTTCGAATGGAAGGTAAAATATTCTGACAAGGGACAACTGCATGTCATTTGTAAGAATGCTGGAGAGGGTTGTATGTGGCAACTTCGTGCTGCATATATGAAGAGAAAGGGGGTCTGGGTCATGCGGACAGCAGAGAACAACCACAGTTGCTCCTCAACCATACTTTCACAGGATCACCGGCAACTGAAAGCAAAAAAAGTGGCAAGAACCATTAAGCACCTTATCGAGGCACAACCAGATATCAAGATAAAAGCTATCATGGCGGAGGTGAAGGATCGACACTCCTACACCATAAGGTATAAGAAGGCGTGGCATGGGAAGCAGAAGGCCATGGCTGATGTCTACGGTGATTGGGATGACTCGTATGCTTTACTCCCCAGACTAATGTCCGCAATGGAGGAGTCCAACCCTGGGACGGTTTCCGTGCCTTGGTACAACAACGTAGAAACTGAAGATCAAGTTCGAGTACAGAACGAGTTGATGTTTCATCGTCTGTTCTGGACATTCAAGCCATGCATTGACGGGTTTCCCTTCTGCATGCCAGTGATTCAGGTATATTACGGACTCAAAATATTGTACTACTTCATTACTTTACTAATTTCAATTTTTACTAACTCAGTATTCATTTTAACAGGTTGATGGAACTTTCCTTACTGGGAAGTATAAAGGAACTCTTCTTATTGCCACTGGGGTTGATGGAAATTTAAGTATTTTTCCCTTAGCATTTGCATTAGTTGAAGGGGAGAACAACCTAAGTTGGGCATGGTTCTTTGACCAGCTACACGCCCACGTCACACAAAGAATGGGTATTACAATTATATCGGATCGACATGCCGGGATTAAACACGCCGTCCGTGGTTTCCCGGACGAATGGGGATGGACATGGCGTTGGTGTATTCGTCACTTCCTAGCCAATTTCCAACACAAATTTGGCAAGAAGAAAGACATCAGAGATCAATTATGGAGTGCAGGTAATAATGTAATTCAGTGCTTGTTCAAGGTTTATTGTTCAAATGACAATTCTTATGGATTAATTATTAATTCTCCGGTCTTGTAGCGGTTGCACATCAACCAAAAAAGTACGAGCAGAAGATGAAGACGATCCGTCAAATACACCGGGCGGGAGCAGTATGGGCAGAAGGTCAAGATCTGCACATGTGGACATTTCACATGGACAACGGGGCTAGATTCGGAATTGCAACTACCAACCATGGGGAGAGCATAAATGGAGTCTACAAGGGCATTAGGGCAATGCCTGTATCTGTCCTAGTGGAGATGACATACTGGAAGGTAAACGAGTGGTTTGTGAAGAGACGGGATGCTGCTATAGGGAGGGAGCGTGCTGGTCATTCAATAGCTAAGCATATATTTGACGGCATGCAGAAGATCGAAGAGAAATCAAGTAAGCACAGAGTTGTTCTGTTCAACCGCAATGAGGGTATTTTTGCTGTGCAAACAGGTATCTGGGGTGGAGGAAGACGTGGGCATAATCGTCAATCCGTAACTCTACACGTAGAAACTCGCACCGGAGAGTGTACATGCCAAAAGTATCAAAACAGAAGAGTACCTTGTTCACATGCAATGGCAGTAGCTAAGTCGATAACCCTCAGCGCTTACAGTTTGGTTAGTCCTTACTACACGGAACAGGCGATCAGGAACTCCTACTCGTCAAGTTTTAGCCCCCTGCCGGATGAAGCTTATTGGCCTGTAGACAATGGGAAGTTGATTATCCCACCGTTACACTTAAAGCGCACCAAAGGTCGTCCTAGGACCGAAAGGATTCACAATGAAATGGACCAATCACAACGTGCCCGACGGGGTCCAAAGCGTTGCTCAAAGTGCAGACAACCGGGTCATGACAAGAGGCGTTGCCCAGGTCCACCTCTAGAGCAAGATTCGGCGCCAATTCCGAACCTACCTTGATGTTGTTGTTGTTCACTTCCTTGTTTTAATCTTGTTGAGTAGTTTTCGTTGTTGTGATGTTTAATTTGGACTTCTTGTTTTAATCTTGTTGAGTGATTGTAATAAAGGGCGTTTGTTGTTCATTTTGGTACAACATGGGGGTAAAAACCAACAAAATTTAGCCGACAGATAGTTAATGGAAAACAACACAATCCGAAACCAAATTTAGAAACATAGATAGTTCATGGAAAACAACACAAGCCCCAAACCAAATTTAGACGACATGGATAGTTCATGGAAAACAAAAAAAGATGGAACTAAATTAGAACGACATAGATAGTTCACTGGTTGTCTTCATTTCCCTCCACTTCCCCTTCTCTTCCTCTTCCTCTTCCTCCACGACCTCCTCGGCCCCTTCTTCCGCCCTCTCTACCTCCTCCTCCTTCTTCACGAGCCCGCTGGACAACTGCGCGCGGATTCCTCTTAACCCGACCACCCACCGGAGTGTAGACAGGTGGTGGGGGTGGAGGTTGCTGAGTTGGACCAGAAGTGTGGTAGAAAGTCGATGATGTATGTTGCTGTTGCGGGGTCTGATACTGAGTAGTTTGTTGCTGATGGTGGAACTGAGGGGTGGCTTGGGTGAACATGTCATGCTCCATCGTCGGGGCATAGCTTGACGACCCTCCGGTTCCCTCAGTACTAGTAGCCCACTCACAATGTGGCCATGGTTGAGGAAGTTGAGTTTGCTGAGACGGACGAAGCTCATCAATGTGTTCTCTCACCCTTCTTCTGCTCCTCCGTGGGGGCTCTTCTGGGGGCACAATCCTCTCATCAGCACGGAATGAAGGTCGGGCCGGAGCAGGCACTGGAGGGTATAATATGACATCCCTCCTTTGCTCTCTGGTACAACAGAGCAAGTTGTTGAAAAGCCTGCGCAAAAAAGATGTCTTCCGCTCATCCATGGTGGGTGCACTCTCGACGGTGTGCTTCGCATGCTCCAAACCGTCAACCTAATAAATTGTTTTACAAAATTAACTAATAGTAAATCTAATAATGATTTCTATCATCTAATATAGGCATGTAATCATACTACAAAAATTAACTAAAATTAACTCTAATAATGTTAATTAACATTCTAGCAAATATAGGCATGTAATTATACTACAAAAATTAACTAACATTAAATCTAATAATGTTAATTAACATTCTAGCAAATATAGGCATGTAATTATACTACAAAAATTAACTAAAATAGGCCAAAATGGAATTCACTTACCACTGCGCCCCAAACAGCACCTTGCTTTGACACCCATCTTAGCGTGAAGTGCCGATACCACCGCATGTAGCCATCGTGGTACCCCATTGGCCTTGTCTCCGGCGCCCCTTGGACCACCCACTGATTTCTATTCTCCCATATGTTGATGTAGAATTCATGTTTGCGGGTCCAATCCTTTTTGTTGTAGCGTAGGTCAATGGCGTGGAGCTCCCTGAACCCTTGAGGTGGGGATGCTGGAATTGGTTGCTCCAATCGATATTGCCTCAAAGATCGATCGGGCAGGTGCCACTCCACCATGTGCCAGCAGATTAAGGGCACCTTGCACAACCATGTCTCTTGATCCTCGGGATGTCTAAGACGATGCAACTCAACCACTTCATTTGGATATGGATCCCATACCGCCTACAATCATTACAATTCACGTAATTAGTAAAAATTATATCCACTCCACCTAATAAATTTAAAATCATGACATTCAATATTTTTACCTGGTTCCACCAAGGCTTATCAAATTCAGCACGATAAAACAGTAAAGAGTGCTCGGCCTGGTGGTCGTTAGTATTTGCTCCGATCCACCTAATTAAGCAAAAGTACATATATAAGCAATTTTTAAATTAGCTAAATACGATTTGGTTAGAATAAATCCAAATTCACTTACTTGGAAGATATCTAAATTCACTAAAATACTAGAATTGCAGACCTAAAATGTCTCTAAATTCGCTTAGTTGGAAGATAGCTAAGTTCACTAAAATACTATAATTGCATACTTAAAATTGCATACTAAGTTCACTAAGTTCACTAAAATCTAAATTCACCTAACTAGCTACCATTGCATATCTAAAATAAATTCAACTTAAATTGAACTTACTTGAAACCATATGGGGGATTTGCTACAAATCGTAGCTCATCATCTGGCAACCAGAATTCCCGAGGGTCTTGAGGTGCGAGAAACGGAAGATGCTCCCATGCCCAGAGTTGAAGTATGAACATCGCACCACCAGCTTGTTTCGCTCCCAACCTCGAGCAAGTACACAACTCTCGGTAGATTCCAGCCAAGACGGCCGACCCCCAACTTTTTCTCCCGATCTCGTCCCAGTCACCGAGGAGCATAGGGAACCACATGCCTTGTATCCACTTATTTGACTTGTCGGGGAACAGAAACCCACCAACCAAGGCAATTAGGTATACACGTGCATACCGCTCCACCTGATCTTCAGGAGTATCCAGGCCTATATTAACCTCCAATTGGATGTGGTCAACAAGCCACGGGATCGATACTTGCCCCGCATTCAGTGGTGGATGCCCAACCCCTTCGACGGGCGTGGTGGTCGGCATGTTGAACCCCAGACGTTCCTGAATCAATGGCCCCCAACCATCTTCTGGTTTTCTCGAGCTGTCGATGATGGCATCTCCGGTGATCGGGAGCCCGGTGAGGATGGCAACATCTTTGAGGGTGATCGTCATTTCACCCTCGGGAAAGTGGAAGGTATGCAGCTCAGGGCGCCATCGCTCTGTCATTGCCGTCAGCAGATCGTTGTCAATATCTAGCCTCATAAAGTGCCTCAAATTGTGCAATCCCGCCCTCTCTAGATAGGGATGCAGTCGAGGATGCCAACGGGGCAATCGACATGTACCTCGATGACTGATGGGAATAAGTGATTCCTACAAAACAAAAAACACAATATTGTCAGTCAATAGAAAGCAAAATAAAAACTTAGAAAGCAAAATAAAAACTTTAAAACTATTGAAATAATTGTAGTGTATCTACCGGATTATTGTTCCAAATTGAACGAGAGCGATGTTGATCTTGCCCGGTTAAATACCTTCGATCCCTTGGGCCAGGATCGATATACAATCTAGGGTCGTATATCTCAGCACCCATCTATAAAAAAATATGAAATCAAATCAATTTAAATTTTAGCACCCATGTAAAAAAAAATGCACAAAAGAATTAAATAAATTTACGTACTCTCAAAGCCTCTTCGTCCATTTTTTGCCGAAAAGCTAGCGAGAGTATCGACAAAACAACAAAACAAAAACTCTAGTAATTCTTTCTGATGCGGAAGATCGGACTTAGCCGCAACCACAGAGCATACTTAGAACGAAACTAGAGTGAAAAATGGAGGGAGAAAGAAGTATGAAGTGGTGGTGTGGTTTGGAATGAGAGGGGGGATGGGTAATTTATAGGGTTTGGGGCTGGGAAAAAACCTGGCCAGTTATCACCGCCCCAAACAAACACAGCGCCATCACCGCCTTTGTTGGACGCGGTGATGTGCAGGGATCGCTGACGTGGCCTCTCCTGATGCGTCGGATTGTGGAGAAAAACCACAATCCGCGCATAACTGCATCCGACGGCAGCGGTGAAGGCGCGGGGTGGGGGGCGGATCGCTGACGTGGAAAGCGGGGCTATCACCGCTTTGGTCTTCAGCGGTGAAGTGCCCGCGCGCGTCCACGTCAGCGATCCGCGCCCCTTCACCGCTGTTGGATCCAACGGTGAAGGCTTCACTGCCTGCCACATCAACGGTGATGCCATCACTGTCGTCCTTGACAGCGATGATGGCATCACTGCTTTGGTTTAAAGCGGTGATAACATCACTGCTTTAGTCTAAAGCGGTGATGTATCATCGTTTTAGACCAAAACGGTGATCAACATCACTGTCTTAGACAAAGACAGTGATGTTGAAACTGCTGTATTTTGGGAATTAGTTTTATAAGTACTGTATTTTGGTAATTTTTTTTAATAATTGGTATATTCTGGGATTTTTTCCGGATTCTACCGAGAGAGATGAGCCTTTCCGAAGTTGGGAGTTTTTGTTGTTTGCTTGTGAGGAAATCCCAGTAGGGAAGAGAGCTAGGAGGAGGGAAAGGGAGATGAGAAAGGTCGCAGGTTCGTAAGTTTGAATCGCCATTGATGGGCATGCTCTGATTTCCCGGTCGTCCTCGGCTGCGGGTTTTAACGTGGAGGAGTAATAATGACGACAAGGACTATTATGTTATCCACCATAGCGAAGTGCTGATGGGTGGATGTTGGAAATTGGGCGTAGGAGGGAGACTAAATCCACCATAGAAATTGCGAGGAAATTGGTACCGGCCTTGGATCTGTGGAAAACCCCTGCATAGGATTGGATGGGAAGTCAAGCTAACTAAACAACAGAAAGTGACCATTGGATTAGGCCCTTTCGATTCCAAATACAAGTGTTAAAAATTTGGAAAACGGTGGTCGGGATTACGTTTTCCCCCAAGCTGCTGCCGAATATTGGTACCGGAAGAAAACCTGATAACCGGTTAGCGTTATTGGATAGACCGCCGAGGCTATCAGTGTTGTTGAGGGTAACAACAAAGATGAGTTGGGGAAAATGAAACCCTAAAAATCTTGGGTGTTTCTCATTCATACTTGGGTTTAAATAGGCAAAAGCTTTGCACTACAAGACAACAAGTGCAAGCTAGCATTTGGAGACTACAAAGATAAACATTAACTCAAACTAAAGTCTAAACAAACTTTGACATTAAAGTAAACTTGATGATGATAATTTCCTCTAAACCTTGTCGATCCACTTTGACATTCATGGTCGCCGGTTTGAGTTTTGACGATCTTTCAATACCCCCCCCCCCCCCCCCCCCCCCCCCCCCCCCCCCCCCCCCGGCAAGCGGGTGAACACATAATGTGCACACCAGGCTTGGAGAGAATACAGTCTTGACTTTGGAATGAGAATGTGTTCAATGTTGCTGCACTGTTGGCTAGCTAACTTCCCTTCAATCTTCAAATGGTGAAGCTGATGCATCTTGCTAGCTAATCCCAAACATCTTCTGAAAAGCTGTTGCATCTGTGGCTAGCTAGCTATGAAAACTTCTTCTTCTTCACCCGGTGATACCACTGCATCTTTGGCTAGTTGGCATCCCATCTTCTTCTTCGCCTTCTTCTTCTTCAACTCGGATAAGCTGTTGCATCTTTGGCTAGCTAACTTTCCATACTTCTTCTTCAACTACTCAACCCCCAATTTCAGCTACATAGTTTCAGTTTCTCCAAATAAGATGGGATATGCTGCTGCTTTTTCTTTTGCTAGCTAGCACTCCGATGCTTTTCAAATGGAATTGTCGCTGCATCATGGCTAGCTGGCTGAACTTTCACATCTTCAGCTTTTCCTTGCTTTAGATGGATTGAAACTTGATTGGGATACGTTGCTGCATTTTGCTAGCTAACACTCCTACCAACAAACATACTGAAATCAGTAGGGGAGTGCATTGTTGGCTACTTCCCTCTAATCCTCCAACTTGACGAGGATATGCTGCTGCTTAGCTAACAAGCATTCCAGAAAAATTTGATTTCAAACTCAACAGGGGAGTAAGCTTTTTCCCGCTGCTGCATCATCTCAGACTACTGCCTTCACTTCCACTTGCTAAAACAGAAACAAGGACTTGCGCTTGTGACTGCTACTGCTGAAAAACTGTTTTTTTTTCGTTCGGATTGCAGTTTTTTTTTAATGTGCTGCCCCTGAACTTGTAGCACCTTTCTTCTTTTATTTTCTTTGTCAAACTCAGAGCTGGGAAGTTGAGATTCTTGCTGTGCGGGAGGTACAAGTGGCTTCGCCTTCCCACACAGTCATGAAACTCAGCATAAAATCATTCAATCTTTTGATTTCCAGCAAATAACAAATCTGGACAATCCGGCCATTCTGTTGAACTTCAATCACATTCTTCTCATGAAGATGCTGCTCAATCAAAGCTTTCAAACCTTCCATTGCATCACAGTAATGAACGACTTCACACAAACATAACCTCTAACTCGTTCAAGATCAACTACTCTATTTTCGGCAGGTCTCTTCTTCTCATTCAATGGAGTAATTTCAGCATCGAGTTCAAGATTTGTACCTTCCTCATCTGGGTTTTCTCCAGTGGGTGTGAAATGCCTTCTTCCAACGTTTACATTGTGCTCTGTAATCATCCCCTGCCTAAAGCTGGGTTTTGATGGCGTTAGCCTTTTTAAACTACTGAGAATCTGTTTGCTTTCCTCTTCTTCTTCAATCCCGCCACTGTTGCCGGCTGACATCATCCTGGTCGCAAGGTATAATTCGATCGAAAAATCCCGTCGCTTTCTTCTCCTCGTGTTGCTATGAAAAATCCCTTCGTGGTAGTGGGTTGCCATCGCCGCTACTTCTGGATACCTTGAATGCAGCGACTAGCGACAATTTAGACGCTGGCTGGAGAGCTCTATTCTTTGAGAAATCAGAGGGCGGCTTCAACCGGTCTGATTCTTCAGTCGTAGGACTTGAAATGGTAGACTGTATGTCTGGGTTTTTTTTTTTTTTGCGGGATTGAACAGGGGAGAAGTAGATCTGAAGAATAGAGAGTGCTCTGAACTTTGATTCTGGGCTAGGAAAACGTCTCCAGCGGCGGTGGGTAGTCCTTGTCTCAGCGGGTCAAAGAAGCTCACCGGCGGCATGTTATGTTCGAAGAAGTCAGAGCCCTGGAGCATGATGATTCTCTCGCTGGTCGTTGCTGCGATAGGATGGTTGGGGATTTGTCTCCTTTGACGAAATCAACGGCCCAGGTCTTGAGAGAGTCGTTGGAGGTAGTGGGCTTGTCCTTCTTCTCAGAGTCAACCTCGACATGCTTGCGCCATAGTCGTTCTCACTCGATCTGGTTTTTTTTCGTGCTCGAGAGGAAAAAGACAGAAGAGGGGATTTGTAGATCTGCCAATCTCGATCTGTAACGAGATGGTTTTCGGTTTTTTTTTTTTTTTTTGGTTTAGTGATTGGGGTTTCCGATCTGGAAGGTTGGGGAATAGATGGGATCCTGAGATGGTGAGGGGATTTGGAAATTAGTTGCGAATGAGATTGGGGTTTTGGCTTTTGGGAAGGGAATTTCAAAAGCCAAAAAGAAATTGAGGAACAAAAAGTGATGGGAACTTTGTGTTTTGGTTTTTTGGGCAGACGGTTTGGAATTGGGGGAAGAAGAAATGATTTTTCTGGGTAAATGGAAAATGAATGGTGGGTTTGGATGTCGGAGAAGAGATGCAATAGAGAAGAAATGTTTTTGATTTTTTAGGGTTTATGATCTGAAATTTTCAGATCTTGGACATGATCCTTATTTTTGTGGGTAGAAGGTATTTTTTTTCCGGGTTCTCTTGGATCTAGAGACTCTGATACTATAACAACAAAGATGAGTTGGGGGAAAATGAAACCCTAAAAATCTTGGGTGTTTCTCATTCATACTTGGGTTTAAATAGGCAAAAGCTTTGCACTACAAGACAACAAGTGCAATCTAGCATTTGGAGACTACAAAGATAAACATTAACTCAAACTAAAGTCTAAACAAACTTTGACATTAAAGTAAACTTGATGATGATAATTTCCTCTAAACCTTGTCGATCCACTTTGACATTCATGGTCGCCGGTTTGAGTTTTGACGATCTTTCAATATCTCCTGTTAGAGGGCGGGGAAGAATACAGTTGTTGCTCTCTTCAATTTCTCGAAAGAAAAGTCCCAGTAAGGTTGGAGGCTTGGAGCAGTGGTTGGGCTTGCGAAGGGTCGGAACTTGTATATTTGGTGGAAGCAAGGTTGTCAACTTGCCGGCTAACTCGTACTCGATGGAGCTATTAGGTTAAGAGTTAATGGCAATGTTGTCAAAACCGAACCTTTGTATGAACCAGTATAGTGAACGATTTGAACTTTAATGGTTTAACTGATATTAAACCATTAATGAATCAGTATCTAATAAACAAGAATATTAACATACTACACACATTTTAACACACAATATCATGAGTACTAAATTAAAAGTGCTAACTGCTAAAGTACAAACCTTAATCTTCCAATTTAATTAATCATAATATAATAGGAAGGAAAAACAAAAAAAATCAAAAGCTACCGAACAGGCTAACACGTACAAAGCGTGTGTATCATAAACGGAAATTCTTTTTTAGCATAAAAAGGCGACACCACCGCTCTCCCACATTGGCTTGGGATAGGGTCAGTAACCACTGGTTACTGACCTATCAGTAACCACACGGGAGTTGTAGATCTGAGGGATGGAGCAATCGTGTAGCTGAGCTGGATATGGGAGTGGGGAGAGACATTTTTGTCCGTTTTTGTATTTTTAATTTTTTTTATTTATTCAACATTTCAATGGCTGGCTTTTCAATGAAAGAGAGAGAATGATCTTTTCTCTGCAACTCTACTTTCTTCCTTCTCTCTTCATTTTTCTCAATCTCTTTCCAGAACCTTTCTTTTCCTCTATTCCTTCTCTCTTACTTTTTCTCTCACAATCTCCTTTTCAAATCTAGATCTGCTGTCTTCCTTCTTCATTTTTTTTCTCTAGCAATCGACGAATAAAAATTGAAGTCACCCTCATTTATTGCGTTTCTTCTCTTCATCAACTCGTTGGCTTTAATTCCGATCTTTCTCCTTTTTTTGGCATTTGGTGTTCTTGGTTGCGTATGAAATGAGATGAGACAGAAGACAAGTTTTTTTTCTCTCCCTTCTTTTGTTTTTTTTCCGTTTCTTTTAGGTAATATTATTGGTATGACCATACTATACCATATGGTATTGTGTGGTAACGAAATATATATTGGTATTACCACTCTATACCATATGGTATTGGGTGGTAACGAAATATATATTGATATTACCACACTATACCATATGGTATTGGGTGGTAACGAAATATATATTGATATTACCACACTATACCATATGGTATTGGGTGGTAATAACTGACTATTTTTTTGTGTCCAAAAAATATCAAAGTGGATATCATTTTGAAGAGCACAATTAATCTGATCTAACTGGGCAAAAAAATTAAATTTCGACTTAAAACGAGTGAGAAATCGTCCGTTAAAGATTAAGGGAAGGAAAATTAAATGTTTTGCGAGGAGAGAGAAGGAGGCGTTGATGTGGTCCGGTCAAAAGTCAGCGTCAGCAATAAATAGGAGTAAGTGTGATTTTACCGTACTGCCCTTTCGCATTTAATTTAAATAAAAAAGTGACTTACACGTGGGGGCAGGGGAAAGGGGTTACTTATGGGTTACTGACCTGATCTGGACCCTCCCACATCTCTTCAGTTTCAACTTTCAAGTTCTCCATCTCTGTTTTTGACCAACGCCACCAATATTTCACCTTCTTGTTCTCTTTCGATACTCGAGATTCTTCTAATCCTCCACCAATATCTTAGTGTTGTGGTATATGATCCACGATTGAACCTCTCCCAAAAACTCGAGTTATTGGGATCAACTGGTTCTTGACATGGTATCAGAGCCTTCTGTGACCGAGAGGTCTTGTGTTCGATTCCCGGTGACCCCATTTGTTTAGCACATGGTATTCTTGTCTTCAGACATGTGCAAAATTCAAGCCCTTGTGAGTGGCTTTCCTTTGAGGGGGCGTTTTAGTGTTGTGGTATATGATCCACGATTGAACATCTCCCAAAAACTCGAGTTATTGGATCAACTGGTTCTTGACAATTACCTTGATATCTCGCCGCCGCTGCCATCGCCATTCCTTTTTCTCCCGTTGCTTCTGTCTTCCAGTAGAGGCGAGAAACGAGCAAACAGAGATGAAAAAAGGTGGGAACGAGGGAGATAGAGGAGCAGAAGAAATGGTGAAATGAGGTTTCCTTTCTTTCGTTTTGGTTCGCAAAAGAACAGAAGAGGATCGACTGTTTGGTTTTCGGAGAGAAGGCAAAAAGTTTAAGAGAGATCGAGAGAGGAGAGAAACGTATGCTAGGGTCGGCATCCACACCTTTATTCACGTTTTTCTAAAATGACCAAAATAACCCTCTAATTTTCACTAAATTGCTTGCTGCAAATGAGCTGAGCTGTTCGCGAGCGGCTCGGTGTTCGACTCGAGAAAAGCTCGTTCGAAACTCGGCTCGTTAATAAACGAGCCGAACATGAGCTAAACTTTCTTCAGCTCGCGAGCTAGCTCGACTCGGTGACTTGTTGAGCTAAATTCGTGAGCTGGCTCGTTTAGAGCTCATGATATGTCTCAACATGTGGCTAGAGAGCCAACTCGATTACCGACTTATGAACGAATCAATCTATATCTTATGTTTTTAATTCAAATGGTTGTTATATTATATATTTCACCATATATAAAGTTTAAAACGTTGAGTATGTGAACAAATATATCTTATTTTCTACTTTAAAAAAAATTATGTATCATAAATTGCTTCGTTACAATGAAATAACATGATTTGGAGTAGTTAAAATTTATTAAATAAATGATATATGATACCAACAAAGTATAATATGATATTAGCTAACAAAATAAATCATGTGTATAAAATGAAGTACCAAATAAAAGTTAAGATTTTAGTAAACAAGTAACTATAACAATTCAAAATTTACGCTTATCATATCGTCCAATTGGATTCTAAAAACTACACCCCGAATAATTTAAAATAATTCAATTTTACGATTAAATACACAATAAAGCCGCAAATAATAATACACCCAACCCTTAAAAACTTATCGATTTAAATAGTATCAAATCGAGACGGATCCCTCGATCTCCGAGGTGCGGTTGCGACAGGATGCATGCAGCCTGTTTTTCTCACCGAGTCAGAGTCAAAGTGGATCGACCCGCGGTTGACAACATTGGGTGGGAGAAACAAAGTGGGTCCTCGTTATTTTCAGCATGAAAGGAGATAGTGATTTAGATTTACTCATTCTCCATTACAATATTACAGTACTTTGTAGATTTTCTCCATAGTGATTTACTCATCCTCCATTACAATATACAGTACTTCGTAGATTTTTTTCATTTTGAATTACCATCTTATTTTTTAATAAGTAAAAAAATAATAGTAAAGACAATGGTCAAATAGAAATAAGGGTCATAATCAATACACTATATTGATTTTTCCTATCTGTTTCAACCAAAAACATATACGAAGGTAAAACTAAAAGATCACGAAACTTTTCAATGGTTAGCTAGCCAAGTAAAATTCTGATAAGTACTCATTGATGTTCGATACTTCAATTTTTATATTATGATTATTTTATTTTTATATTTAATTTAAATTTTTATATATCTTATAAGTAAGGATAACTTTAAAATCATAACTCAAATTTCAATGGTTCGAATATTGCATATCAAAATCTAGTACTGAATATGCATAATTCTTAAATTAGTATTAATTTTTAGAAC